AAATAAATATAATTTTATGAAATAAATGTTTCAAAGTAGATTCAGCACTAAATCAGTTGATCTTTGTGACCTTCTAAAAAGTCTCTCTTGTGAAAGTAAATTAATGTTCCCTGCTGTGGGGAGCATTGAGAGGTACATGAAGATGTCACCCTCACCCCACCATTCTGCTACATGTAAACGTAATGAAAGCTTCTAGTGTAACTTACACAGATTAACCCATTTAATGTCTGGTGTGCCCTCATGCAACCGAGAGTACAGGTAAAACCGCCCTGAAAATCTAGTGCGCCCATATACCCCCTTTCATAAATGACTCATTTTAATTGATTGTAGCTTAGAAACTAGATTCCCCTGGGTACTGAAACATGCAATTGAGGGGCCCAATAGAGAAAACAGTCTGTCACATCATAGAAACTCACTGGTTCATCCTCGCGTGACTTGTGATGGTCACTAATAAGACAAATCATGGCTGACCAAGTGGCAATCAACAACTCTACAACCATTAATCCAAATATAGAGCTCACAAGTCCATGTTCCTCAGAATCTTTATTGGTGAAATCAATAGGAACAAAAACATGTGAGGCAGAATTATCCTCTCGAGGGAAAGATGGGCTCCTGAACAATTTTGTCACAGCGAGGCCGAGTTCAAATGAGTGAGCAAAGAGGTGGGTCGTAGACATCACACAACATGTCAAAGAAAAACCCATGAATGTCATGACCTGCAGGAAGATAAAGCAAACAATCATATTTAGCTTATAAAAATCACTCATATTGGTATTTAGGATTTAATGGCCAAAGCCAGTTACGGAATTGTAAGCATTTTAGGCATCCTACAAGTGAACAGTTATGACTTAAGTACAGGTACAGACTGTATTTCAAACAACAGCAATTCAACATCATTGCAGTCGGCCCTCTTCAAACATATGTAAGTTGTAGTTATTTTTTTTATCTCAGGTAATTTATATTTTTCCTTTGTTTCAATGTCATTATCATACATTACCATACCCAAAAGCGAAAGAAAAACAAAAATTACCTGAGATGAAAAAAATTAACTACAACATGTATTTTGGTCTGAAATAGAAATGTTATTATCATCCAAGCAATAGTAGACCCACTATTCAGTTACTATAAATGATCTAATAACTGCGTGGGGTATCTATTCAATTTTAGGAGTCCAACTGGGGGCATTTCATAGATAGGATGTATTAAAAGAGAGAGGTACATGTTTATTCTCAAAACTGAAACAAGCTAAACAAAATTAAATAAATATCTGCTTTCGGTAACAAACGAGAGTTTAAAAGTAG